AAAAAAAAAAAAAAAAAAACAGAAGAGTTTTTTTCTAGGTGTTTCCATGCCCAGCAGAGACAAGAGAAGTCCCTAATGATCATCCCCAAACAACAACTAAAAGCCCAGTGAGGCTGGGGCTCAGCCGCTGAGGTGGCCCCAGGTCGTCACCTTCTGCTCCCTTCCCCACTGTGCCCAGGGGCCAGAGCTGTGAGTCCCAGAGACATAGGCAACAGGGTCCTGAACTCCCCAGCTCTGGACCAAACTGCATGCAGGAAGCGGGGGATAAATGACAGAAAAAACCCTGCATGTCTCAAGCTCTGGGCTGCTGCCACTTACCTCCCTATGATCCCTCCCCCATGGGTGGATGGCTCTGGAGGCTGCTCCAGGGAGCTGAGGTGACCCAGTGAGGACTCCATGCACTCCACTCTACTATCTCCCCTCCCCCACCACTAGGAGCCAACTAACCAGACTGACAGGCGCAGGTGCTATAGGAGGCCAGTGGTGCCAGCAGCCAATGGGTTAAAGGCCCTGGCGGGAGATCCACATGGGACAGTGGGACGTGGGGGTCAGATATCAGTCCAGGATGGGGACAAGCACGAGGACGCTATTCCAGGGCTCTGATAGCAGCTGTCTATTTATAGCACTGGGGGGGCCTCCTCACATAGGCAGCAGAGAGCTGCTCTGCTGCACCGTCACCATCAGCACCTCCGCTACTGGCTGCTGCTGGCTGCCGGCACCTGCCACTCCGCAAGGGACAAAGGGACTCAGAGACTGGCCAGATGGGCAGCACCATGGAGCCCCCCGGGGGTGCATACCTGCACCTGGGTGCCGTGACGTCCCCAGTGGGCACAGTCCGAGTACTGCAGCTGGCCTTTGGCTGCACCACGTTCAGCCTGGTGGCGCATCGGGGAGGCTTCTCAGGCGTCCAGGGTACCTTCTGCATGGCTGCCTGGGGCTTCTGCTTCTCCCTCTCTGTCCTGGTGGTGGCCTGCGAATTCACAAGACTACACAGCTGCCTGCGGCTCTCCTGGGGCAACTTCACGGCTGCCTTCGCCATGCTGGCCACCCTGCTGTGCGCCACAGCTGCAGTCATTTACCCGCTGTACTTCACCCGGTGGCAGTGCCCGCCTGCGCCCGCCGGCTGTGCTGCCAGGGACTTCCGCCTGGCAGCCAGCGTCTTTGCCGGGCTTGTCTTCCTGGCCTATGCTACTGAGGTAGCCCTGACACGGGCCCGGCCCGGCCAGGTGGCTAGCTACATGGCCACGGTGTCGGGGCTGCTCAAGATTGTCCAGGCCTTTGTGGCCTGCATCATCTTTGGGGCACTGGTCCATGACAGCCGCTACACACGCTATATGGCCACCCAGTGGTGTGTGGCTGTCTACAGCCTGTGCTTCCTGGCCACAGTGGCTGTGGTAGCCCTGAGCGTGATGGGCCATACAGGGGGCCTCGGCTGCCCCTTCGACCGCCTGGTGGTGGTATACACCTTTCTGGCTGTGCTTCTATACCTCAGCGCTGCTGTGATCTGGCCAGTCTTTTGCTTCGATCCCAAGTACGGTGAGCCTAGCCGGCCGCCTGAATGCCCACGGGGCAGCTGCCCCTGGGACAGCCAACTGGTGGTGGCCATCTTCACGTACGTCAACCTACTCCTCTACGTCGCTGACCTGGCCTACTCCCAGAGGATCCGCTTTGTGCCCACCCTGTAGCCTGGTAGCAGCAGCCCACCTACCTCTGCTTTCTGCTCAGGTACTATGGGGGGGGTGCCTGGGTGAACTGAGTCATCAGGGGAAAGCAGGAGGGTGGCGGAGGGTTCAGAGCAGATGCAGTGCCACCAAGAGATGCACCTGCTCCTGGACTACCGAGGGCAGCATGGAGCGTCCCCTGGAAGTCCATGGCTCTCGTTTTCACTACTTGTCACCACATCCCAGCCCTCCCTGGGCTCAGTGCATAACAGTGAGAAGTTGTTTTGTTGTTGTTGTTGTTGTTGTTGTTGTTGTTGCAGTTTGGCTGGGGCTGGGTTTGAACCTGCCACCCTTGGTGTATGGGGCTGGTGCCCTACTCACTGAGCCATGGGCACCGCCCAACACATGGGAAGTTTTAAAGCAGATATTGTCACAACTCATTTTGCTGCTGGAAATAGAGGCCAGAAGGATTTAAGAGGCTCCAGTGTGTCTGTCAGTGAGTATATGGAGATCACACTCAGGCTGGACGCAAAAATTGGAACCAGAATGACTTCCAAACTTGCAGGGAAGGTGGAAAGGGACCCAGGAGAGCAGTAGAGCCAGGTCAGCTGAGGGAGGGGCATGAAGGGGCAGCTCCCAGAACCTGAGAGGAGAGCCCTGCCCAGAGACTATGCCTGCTCCACACAAGGAGCCTCTACCACCTCCATGGAGCCTCCCAGTGGAGGCACTGGAAGGAGGATTGTGCTGTGGTCACATAGGGCTACCTCCTGGAGGATCAGCAGGGGGTCTCAAAGGGCCTGCAAAGGCCAGCAGCATTGCCAGGAGCATGGAATGCTGAGGAGGAGCTGGTTCCAACCAGTCCTGGAGCCCCCATGTGGATGCCCACCATTGGTTGTGACACAGAGGCGTCAGCCATGGCCTGGGGAGGCTGGGCAGTGCTGGGTCAAAGCCAAGGCGCCACACACCTCTACTCACATGTCCAGGGCGTCATCCTGCTGCTCCAGCCAGCTTCTCCTGCTCCAGCCAGCTTCTCCTGCTCCAGAACCCAGACTGGGCAAGCCAGGAGCAGGCCCACCAGCCACCCCTGAACCTGAAGTGGGATAGCATCATAGCTGGCCCTCAGTCCACTGCCAGCCTCCAAGGTCCTAGAGCAAGAAATAAATGCTAGCATTGATTTGCACCTTGGTTCCAGCTAAGAAGTTCCTACTGAGTGGCTGTGGCCACTTGTACCTTCTGGGCCACCCTCCCAGCACGCTTAAGAGAAGGGCCCAAACCAGGGCCCGGACAAAGAGGGAAGTTGCTCTGGGGGTACCTGGGCTCTCAGGTGCAGGCAAGGTCAGGCCTTGCCCCCTGAGGTGGTGACTCGCCCTTGGAACAGGCCTTCCCCCTGAGGGGGGTGAGGCCAGGGTAGGTGGAGTGGAGGTCCAGCTCATCTTCCCTCCTCCCAAAGACCCTCAATACTCGCTCTCATCTTCAGGTCTCTAGGGGTCCCAGGCATGGGTGTGGGCAGAGGCATTGCTGCACCTCCTGGGCAGCAGACCCTAAACATGAGCTGTGAGGGCTCCAGGCGAGGCCCTGTGCTGATGCCATGCACGTGAGGCAAGAGGCCACCACTGAGAGGTCACATTCAGGTCAGCCAACAAACAGGGTCTGGCCTGATATCCTCTGCATGGAGGGGATGGGTATTTCAGGCTCAATGGCAGATCCCCAGTGAGGACAGGCAGCTGCTGGGTTTGCAGGTATCCTGAGAGCCCCCACTGGCTGAGGGTATGGAGGTCAGGGGACCACTTAACAAGGTGGCAAAAGAACATACAGACCACACACTTTCCTCACAATCTGGGGAGGACCCTGCCTTGCTCTCTGCTTCCTTTGTTAGCCCAAATCCTGAAACAAGTTATCTGTCCCCACCTCCTGGACTTTCTTCCTAACTGGTGGCCTTCTGCCCCCAGCACCCCATCCAACCTGAATTTCAAAGGTCCTGAGAGATGGAGGTGTGGGGGAGGGGGAACCAAGGGGGCCCCAGGGCTGAGGATGACACACCACACAGGTCTTGCCAGGATGCTTACCTTAGAGTTGGTCCTATGGGAAATTCATGGCCTGGACCAAAGGACTGTCCATTTTGGACAAGCACTTACTACAGCTCCTCCCCAGGTGGGCTCCTCCCCAAACTCACTGCTGTCCAGGTGATCACGTTAGAGCAGGCTCCTAGCGTTGGTGGTCACTGTGTGGATAATCACCTGCCTCCACAAAGGAGGCAGGAATGTGCTCCTCATTCTGAAATTATAAACTACAATCATCTAAGAAAATAAAACAGCTCACCTTTTCCCTGTGGGGGCAATGATCACTTACTTGTTCTTAGTCCTGTTCCTGATAGGACCTCAGAGCACTCTACAGCCTGAGTGCTCTGAGCGTGGGGAAATGACCAGAGCTTTAGACTCTCTAAGAGCCAAAATACTCCATGGATGCTGCAGGCAAGATGTCAGAGGATTCTTGGGTGTTCAGGGCCCTAAGAATCCTGACACCACCATGCACCTGTTTAGAGGAGGTCAGGGTGGCAGCAAGGTGTCATGCAGCTTTCAAAGGTGCCCTTCTCAGCTTGGTGCCTATGGCTCAAGTGGCTAAGGCGCCAGCCACATATACGAGAGCTGGTAGGTTCAAATCCAGCTCAGGCCCACCAAACAACAATGATGGCTGCAACCAAAAAACAACTGGGCGTTGTGGTGGGCGCCTGTAGTACCAGCTACTTGGGAGGCAGAGGCAGGAGAATCTCTTGAGCTCAGGAGTTGGAGGTTGCTGTGATGCCATGGCACTCTACCCCGGGCAACAGCTTGAGGCTCTGTCTCCAAAAAAAAAAAGGTGCCCTTCTCCTCAAAAGAAACTCCACAGGCTGGAAACCACTAGGTAGAAGGAAGGGGTCTGAATGGGGTAGCTGGCCTAGACTATGCTAGCAATCCTAATCTTGACCTGGGAAGGGCCTTCCTTCCTGTCTGTCCTGGTGCACCATACACCCAGTAAATAAATTTTAAAAAGACAAAATATGGTATCAAAACAGCAACATGTTTTAAATGTTTTGCCCACAGGCTAGGCTCAGCGGCTCATGCCTGTAATCCTAGGACTCTGTCAGGCTGATGCGGGTGGATTGCTTGAACTCAGGAGTTCAGAGACCAGCCTCAGCAAGAGGGAGACCCCGTCTCTACCAAAAATGGAAAAACTAGCCCAACCTGGTGGTTGGCGCCTATAGTCTCAGCTACTGGGAAGGCTGAGACAGGAGGATCTCTTGAGCTCAGGAGTTTGAGGGTGCTGTGAGCTGTGATGACGCCATGACACTCTACCCTGTGTAGGGTATAAATAAATAAATAATGTTTTGGAAGGCAAACTATTTTTCAACCCCGCCCCTTCTCAAAATAAAGAAAAAGAAAAGAAAATGCTGGGAAAATGCTGGAAAAGACAGCAAAAAGCATTGATTCCCGGCGAGCGCCTGCACGGCTCAGGGACCCCAGCCCGAGAAAGAGCCCCGCGTGCGTCCAGGGGTAGGAGGAGGGGGATCGCAGAGAGAGCAGGTTTAGCAGGCACTGCGCCGGCGGGGGCGAGCGGATGATGCAACCGACCGGGGCACCGCCCTAGCTCCCGATTGGCTGGAGCCCAGGGCTGCGCTTCTGGATTGGCCGATGCTGTGGGGGCGGGACTGGAGGGGCGTGGTGCCGCGTGGCGGGCACGGCGTGGCGGTAGCGGCTGCCGGGCGACCTGCGCTGGTAGATGGGCTGGGGTCCTGGCTGTGGGGCTGGCGGGCGAAGGCTGCCGGGTGGAAGTGGATGCTCATGGGCGCCTCCGGGTCCGCGCGGGGTGGAGGTTCGGGCGGGATGGGAACCCCGGGTGGAGCCCCTCTGGCGAGGGGGCCTCGCCTTGCTCTTCCTCCTTCCCGGTCATACCTCCTTTCCACACCTGGGCCCCTCCAGAGGGGTCGTGACCCTCATCGGCAGGCCGGGGACCGCCGCTTTGGGTGGGGGGCCTGGAGCAGTTAACGGGCTGGAGCTGTTGGGCAGCAAAGGGAAAGCGGCCAGCCTGGCACTGCCCACCCAACGTGCTCTCCATCCCGCCACGTTTCATGCCGCAGCTGTCCCGCAGAGCTGGTGCCAGCGCTGACAGCTGTGAACATCATGAGCGTGGGCTTCATTGGGGCTGGCCAACTGGCCTTTGCCCTGGCTAAGGGCTTCACAGCAGCAGGTAGGCCCTGCCCGGGTGGGTGCCAAAGTTGGGGTGTGGGTCACAGGCCAGTCCTTTGGGAAGTGGTAGTTTCCACATGTTTGGGGTGGTTAGATGAGTTGTCTTACTCTGGGTAAGGTGGGTTTTTCTTCACTCTCCTTTCTGGGGACATGGGGGAAGGAGGCCAGAAGGGGCCTTAAGGGAAGAACTCTGTCCCCTACAGGCATCCTGGCTGCCCACAAGATAATGGCCAGCTCCCCAGACATGGATTTGGCTACGGTGTCCGCCCTCAGGGTAGGTGCAGGCTGGAGGACAGCCAGGAAGGCCAAATCCCTGCCCAGCCAGCCAGAGTGGGGGCACATGTCCTGACAGGAGTAGGGATGCTACAGCCTTGCTCAGTGAGGCCAGAACCACAGCTGGGGTGTTGAGCAGACCCTGCCTCTGCGGTAGCCATGTGTAGTGGGCATGTACTGCCTATAGAGGGGAGTTTTGGTGTGGAATGAGGTTCCCTGCATGGGGTTAAAGTTTGAGCAGGGTCACCACAGGGATTCTCTGGGGCCACAGACTGGAGACCAGACAACATACCCGAGGCTGAACATAGCTCTGGTATGCCAAGACCACTTAGGGTTTCAGATCCAAGGGCAAGGATAGGCTCCCAGCTTGGCACCACCACTCATACCAGGGGCCTGAGGGGGCTGCAGTCCGGGTGGGACAAACCAGGGCTGTGACACACATGGAGTATTCCTTCTGTCTGCAAAAGGGACACAGTCCAGAGCAGGAAGCTTCCTGGTTTCAGAATGGGAAGGGTGGTTAGGGGAGGGTCAGAGCCTCATGGCCTGAGCCCACACCCATCCCCAGCAGTCTCTGCTGTTTTCTATGCTGGGCTTGCCACTCGGGGGCCAGATAGCCACAGGAGCAAGCTGAGCCTACCTCGGCACCCCCACAGAAGCTGGGGGTGAACCTGACACCCCACAACAAGGAAACGGTGAGGCACAGTGATGTGCTCTTCCTGGCGGTGAAGCCACACATCATCCCCTTCATCCTGGATGAGATTGGTGCCGACATCCAGGACAGGCACATTGTGGTGTCCTGCGCGGCTGGCGTCACTATCAGCTCCATCGAGAAGGTGAGCTCTCTCGGGGGGCAGTGTGAGCTTGTGCTACAGAATGGGTGGGAGCCCTGGCTCTCTCCGTCTGGGAAAGGGGTGTGGTACCCTGACCCACCACGAGAACTCAGACATTCCAGCTGGGAGAGTATGCAACACCCTACATGGAGGCCAAGGAAGACACTCTGGTTTCTCCTCCAGAAGCTGAAGATGTTCCAGCCAGCCCCAAAGGTCATCCGCTGTATGACTAATACTCCAGCTGTGGTTCGAGAGGGGGCCACCGTGTACGCAATGGGCACACATGCCCAGGTGGAGGATGGCAGTCTTCTGGAGCAGCTTCTGGGCAGTGTGGGCTTCTGCACAGAGGTGGAGGAGGACCTGATTGATGCTGTCACAGGGCTCAGCGGCAGTGGCCCTGCCTACGTGAGGACTATAGGGGCAGCTGGTGGCAGTGGGCACTTCCCAGGACCTCAGCATATATTTGCTCCTGCTCTCTACCCCCAAGGGCTAGTGTGGGGGTGCAGGGCTATGGGAACTGGCACTTTGCCTTCTTCCCCCGTCTCTGCTCCAGGCCCAAGGGTGCTGCCTAGAGAGGCCCAGGACAACCTTCTCCCCACAGGCCTTCACAGCCCTGGATGCCCTGGCTGATGGGGGTGTGAAGATGGGGCTTCCACGGCGCCTGGCAGTCCGCCTTGGGGCTCAAGCCCTATTGGTTAGTTTGTTTCCTGACCTTCTTGGGAAACCACAACCTGCAGGGCCCTAAGGCTGCAGTGAGGGCGGGCTGGTAGGACTTGGTGGGTGCTATAGTGGCTGGGGGCACTGCCCTCCAGATACCTGCAGCTGTCACCCTCTTTCTGACTGCAGGGGGCTGCCAAGATGTTACTGGCCTCAGAACAGCATCCAAGCCAGCTCAAGGACAACGTCTGCTCTCCTGGTGGGGCCACAATCCATGCCTTGCACGTGCTGGAGAGTGGGGGTTTCCGCTCCCTGCTCATCAATGCTGTGGAGGCCTCTTGCATCCGTACCCGGTGGGCCCCCACAGCTGCCTACTGCCCAACCACTTGCCCTAGTAGGGCACAACCTTTGGTCTCTATGGGTCTGCTCAGCTATTCACTCAGCAGATTGATTGATTTTTTGAGACAGTCTCACTCTGTCAGTCTTGGTAGAGTGCCTTGGCATCATAGCTCACAGCAACCTCTAACTCTTGGGCTCAAGTAATAATCCTCTTGCCTCAGACTCCCAAGTAGCTAGGACTCTAGGCACCTGCCACAATGCCTGGCTATTTGCAGAGACAGGGTCTTACTCTAACTCAGGCTGATCTCAAACTCCTGAGCTTAGGCAATCCACCTGCCTCAGTCTCCTGGAGTACTGGGATTACAGGTATGAACCACCGTGCCTGATCTTTTTTCTTTTCTTTTTTTTGGCTGGGGCTGGGTTTGTACCCACCATCTCCGGCATATGGGGTTGGTACCCTGCTCCTGTGAGCCACAGGCACTGCCCTCTTTTCTTTTCTTTTCTTTTTTTTTTTTAGACAGAATCTCACTCTGTTACCCTAGGTAGAGTGCCATAGATCATCACACCTCACAGCAACCTCAAACGCTTGGACTCAAGTGATCTTCTTACCTCAACCTCCCAAGTAGCTGGCATTATAGTCATGGGACCATACCTGGCTAATTTTTCTATTTTTAGTAAGGGATGGAGTCTGACTATTGCTGAGGCAGGTCTCAAACTCTGAGCTCAGCAATCTACCTGCCTCAGCCTCCCAGAGTGCTGGGATTACAGGCATTAGCCACTGAGCCAGGCCCACTCAGCAGATTTTTATTGATCTCTGGCTTGGCCCTGGGGTGGACATGGGAGCCCTGAGGTTCCCCAGGTCACAGCTTGCATTGCCCCTCAGTACCTTCTGTCATCCTTTAAGGAGTGTTTACAAGACGACTGGCAACCTCCTTGGGGATACACATTGTACCCCTACAGTTTCACTGTCAAAGTCGGGGGGCTGGCCCAGTGTGGCAGCCAGGCATGTTAGGGACCCTCTGTGAGCCTGGTCAAAACACCTTACTCTTGCCCTTGTGCAGGATTGAATGAACTAGATAAGCAGGCACACAGCCGTGTCTTGGCACAAGGGAAGCTTGGTGAGAGTTGGAAGAAAACCAAAGAGCAGAGAGAGAGAATTTGGTGTCTTGCCTGAGATCTTGCACCTGGTCAAAGACAGGACCAGGCTGGGAGTTGCTGTCTCAAATTGAGGTCTGTAGGATGGACAGGGCATCTTCACCACATGGCCACCCTCCAGTCCAGACGCCCCTGAGTGCCTTGCCTGACTGCACACAAGAGCCTGCTGAGCCTGTTCTTGCACAAGCCCTAGGGGAAGACAGGCAGTGAGGGCTCAGGTCACACAGATAGGTGCGGGGACACTGAGCCAGTATAACGTTAGGGAGGATGTAGCTGGCAGAGGGGACAGTAGGTGCAAAAGTCCTGAAGTGGGTAACAACATGGGTACCCTCTGGGCCAGTAGGCACTGGGTGCTGTGTGGGCTTTGGCTCCTCTTCTTGGTGTTCACTTGGGCTCCAGAAGGAGGGAGGGCCCTAGACCAGCTCCTCTCTGCCTCTTCAGGGAGCTGCAGTCCATGGCTGACCAGGAGAAGGTTTCATCAGCTGCCATCAAGAAGACTGTCCTGGACAAGGTGAAGCTGGACTCCCCTGTGGAGTCCTCTCTGTCTCCTGGCTATACCAAGCTGTTTCCTCGTAGCCTAGCCCCGGCAGGCAAAAAGGACTGATGTGTCCTACCTGTCCACCGTCTTGCCTCCACCTCCTCATCTCACCTCTTCACTCAACGCTCCTATGCTGGGGGTCCCCAGGCCATGCAGTGTCCCCACATGGCTAGCGGCCCATGGCCTTGATTACTTTGGGGATCAGCTGGGGTCTGAGCCAGTGAGGGGGCACATCATTCCCCACTGGAAATCTCCATGTCTCTAAGTGTTCTCTAGCCCAGAATAGGGGTGGGTGCTCTGACCTCAGCTTCCCCTCCACTCTGGAGCTCAGGTGGCCTGGAGGGTCTTCACCCACCCTGCCTCCAGTGTTAGCTGGCTTCAGCTTGGCTCCTGCCCCCACTCAGGGAGATGCTTGTCCTTCCTGTGTGAGGCCCAGAGGGTCCCAGGCACAAGGGACCATAGTTCCTCTTGATCAGCTGCCAAGGACCTGTGATCCTATTGGACTTTGAGAAAAGGGCTCCTCCAGAGGTCACCAGCACTCAGGCCACCGTCCCCCATTCCTAACCTGACTGGCAGGATGCTGTCATTACCCTCCAAGCCCTAGGCTATATAAATTGGTTCCCAGCCTCCAGTGCCTGACTTCTTTGTCAAGGGTGGAGGGAGGCCTCAGCCTGGGCTGGAGGGTGGATTGCTGTTGGGTATGATGCTGGAGGCTGAGCCAGTGACCCCTGCGCCAGAGCCCTGAGGTCCCATGGCAGCCAGGCTGGCCAGTGGGCTGAGTCTCCCTGTAAGCAGACAGGTGGGGAGCTACCAGGACAGGGTGTATCCAGGCCTCTGTCATTGGTGGGAAACTGGTCCTGCAGGCTGGGCTTGGCCTGCTGTTCTGTGGGGAGGGCACCAGCTTCTGTATCCTCCACCCTCCCAGATATCTCACCACAAGCTCAGGCCAGGCAGAGCCAAGCTCCTGGTGCGGAAGGAACCCTCTAGGGAGGTATATTAGGACCCCTCCAGAAAGACAGGACCAAGAGGACACATGCAAACGTGTGCACAGATTAGATTATGAGGAATTGGTTCACATGATTGCAGAAACTGGCAAGTTCAATTAACAAAGGGGCTGGGCCAGAGCAGTGGAGTTGCAGATGAATCCCAAGGCAGTCTGCTAGAAAAGTCTCCTTTACTGGGGGTCTGGCCAGTCCTTCAAATGGTTGCACAGGGCTTACCCACATTATGGAGGGTGATCTACTATACCAGTTAAAATGTTAATTGAATCTAGTGGTAAAGTCTAACAATTTAAATGTCAGTGTCATGCAGAAACATTTGGAATAATATTTGGCTAAACATCTGGGCGCCCTGCAGCCCTGTCAAGTGGACACATAAGATTAACCCTCCCAGTAGGTTACTGGCCCTATATCCTGAGGGTAGCAGGTTCAAACCCAGCCCTGGCCAAACTGCGACAAAAAAATAGCTGGGCATTGTGGTGGGTGCCTGTGGTCCAGCTACCTGGAAGGCTGAGGCAAGAGAATTGCCTAAGCCTAGGAGTTGGAGGTTGCTGTGAGCTGTGATGCCACGGCCCTCTACCGAGGGTAACAAAATGAGACTCTGTCTCTAAAAAATAATTAACCCTCCCAGAGGCCCACTTGGGCAGGGCTGGAGTTGCAGCAGGCTCTTTTCCTCATGTTACACAGGAGTATGAGGGCAGCTGGGCTGGTATTGTAATGAGCTCTCTTGTGGGCTGGGAGAGTGAAGTGACAGCTCCTGAGAAGAAGAGCTTCTGTATCCTCCACCCTCCCAGATATCTCACCACAAGCTCAGGGTGCTATGGGCCCACTGCAGAAGTAGGGCTTGGTATGTACAATCAATCCCACGCTGTCACCCAGGCTAGAGTGATGTGGCCTCATATTAACCTCAAACTCCTGGGCTCAGCCTAGCTCACCAGAAACCTCTAATTCCCAGGTTCAAATGATCGTCCTGCTTCAGGCTCCCAAGTAGCTGGGATTTAGGCACCTGAGACAATGGCCAGCTAATTTTTCTATTTTTAGCGAAGAGGGGTCTCTTGCTCACATTGCTCTCAAACTCAAGGGATCCTCCCACTTGGACTCTCAGAATGCCAGGATGACAGGCATGAGCCATCATGTCCAGCCATGACTGCATCCCTATCTGCTGTGGTGGCTGAGAACGTCCTGGTCTCTTCCCATGTGAGGGTCATTGTACCTAGACATGTAGGTGAAATTAGATGGGGTACATCCTGCTATCAGAGTGGGACCTGGCAGCCAAAAAAGCTGGCTCCCTCTTCTAGGCCCAGCTCTGCTTCAGTTTCCTGATTGGAACTTCCCTATACTTCAGTCTGCTTAGCTGGGGCCCCTGCCCACCTATTCCTTCCCTGTGCCAGGCTGACTCCTGTCTCTCTCACTTGTATAGGCCAGGCTCTGGCTCCAGATCAAAAGGGCCACCAGCCCCTAGCCAGGCAGGGAAAGGAAATGTACACCCTGAGAGGGCCCATGGATGGCCCATCTGCCTGCCTGGAGACCAGGGCTGGTCCCTCATTTGAGAGTGGCTGCCAGCTGAGTCATATGTACCCTGAGTTTCCCAGCAGCATCATGTTGGGACCTACCGCTCTCCAGGAGGAGCCAATAGGGTCCTTTTTTTTTTTTTTACAGTTTTGGCCGGGGCTAGGCTGGGTTTGAACCCACCACCTCCAGCATATGGGGCCGGTGCCCTACTCCTTTGAGCCACAGGCACCGCCCAAGCCAATAGGGTCCTAAGTAAGTCAGTCCCATGGAGGGTGGAGGCCTAGGGCTAGGAGGTTGTTGGGACGGCGCCTGAGGCAGCATCTAGCTGCATCAGGAAGCAAGGTGCTGGAAGTGTAAAGTCCAGACCAGGAGCCAGGCCAGACTGGCTGCTCCTAAGGAACAATTCTTGAGACGGGGCCTCAAGCTATCCCCCTGGGTAGAGTGCCATGGCATCACGCTCACAGCAACCTCCAACTCCTGGGCTCAAGTGAGTCTCCTGACTCAGCCTCCCAAGTAGCTGGAACTACAGGCACCCGCCACAATGCCTGGCCATTTTTTGGTTGCAGCCATCATTGTTTGGCGGGCCCGGGCTGGGGATTTGAACCCGCCACCTTAGGTGTATGTGGCTGGCGCTTTAGCCGCTTGAGCCACAGGCGCCGAGCCAGGAACAATTCTTAAAGCTGGTGCTGGAAGTGACAGTGTAGAGGGAGAAGGTTGGTCCCAAACCTGCAGACCTCTCCACAGAATAGCCTTTAACTGCTACAGTGGCCTCACAGGCTTTGGCCTAAGCAAGGCTGCAGCACTGTATAAATAGCCGGCCAGGAGCCTTTGGGACAGGTAGGATTTGCATGCCAGAGCCATCTCTGTCCACCCCAAAGAAGATTCTATGGTAGGGAGCACTCAAGGGGCCTGGGTTGCACTTTGGTGTGTCCTCTTCCCACTGGTCCTGGGCATCAACCATGCTGAGCAAGGAGGAAGAATGAGACTCCTTCCCAAAAGCAGAAGAAAGCACAACAGGAAAGATGTACAAATTAGCCTCCCAGGAGGTTCCAGTGTGCGGGTGAGGCCAGAGTAGGTCCTTTGAGGAGCACTTTGTCTGGTGCTGGGAACATGAGTGGGGGTTAGCCTAGTAAGCATCACCACTGGGACCCATGTCTCCTGGTGGCACTAAGGACAGGGAAGGGCAGATCATCAGCCGGGTGCTGATGGGACTCTTGGAGGCCTGCCACACCTTTGCTGCATGAACTCAGCCCTCATGGCCCAGCTACGCATGACTGTAGGTTGCCACCAAGCAGGATGCTCTCCCTCAAGCCAGTACCCAGTGGAGGAATGCAGTGGGGTGGGGGCGCGGGAGGCAGAAAACAGGACTGCACTCTGGCCTCAGAGCAATCTTTGCTGTTTTCATACATAGCGGTCGCGGGCCCTCTGCTCTGTGAGACATTGGCAACACCCAGGGCAGGGATGGGGCGATAAAGGTCCCTTGTTATCTGCTCCTGTCAAGGCACATAAAACTAAGAACCACACACGGCCCTCCAAAGCATGCAGTGACAATGTGCGCCCGCACTCAGAAGTCCCCGGAGCCTGGCAGGGACTGCGGAGTGATACCTTTAACCTGGCTCTGGGCTTAGCCTCTGTTACACCTAGTGGTTCATGCAGTGGTGCTGAATCTTGTGAGGACCCCACAGCCTGTCCCTGTCTCTCCATTTGTGTTCTCACAGCTCTGGCAGGGTGAGACACCCTTCCTGGCTTTACATCTGAGAATAGAAGAGGGACGAGTAGAAGGTCCAGAAGTTGAAAATGGAAAGTGAATCCCCCCACTCTCTCTTCTGTCCCTTGGTCACCCCCTTCTCTGGGAATTTTTAACCTCAGACAGCGCAGAGGCACGTGTGGGCCGGGAACCAAATTCTAGGCAGGTGCTGAGGAAACAGGACAGGAGAGGTGCAATTCTTACATCAGCCTAGCTTTCCCGAACGCCTGGTCACACGCCGCCTAGCCCTGCAGAGCAGGGCCCCAGGCGATCTCCCAGAGCCCAAGGCCACACTGGCCCGCGGCATCCTGCGGTGGAGCGCGAAGTGGGAATCTCGGCTCTGCAGCGACGAAGGGCCGCGGCCCGCAGGACCACCTCGCCCAGCCTCCTAGAACTTGGGATGCGGTCTTGGACGGCATAGACACCGAGGCCGCGAGGCCAGGGCCCTCTGGACTTAGGGCCTGGCCTACGAGAACCCCTAGCGCAGGGCACCTGGGCGCGGCGCGCGTTACCAGGGGCGACCGCGCCGAGGCGCGCAAGCGCAGTGGGATGCGCCCACCCCGCCCCCGACCTCCACAGCCGCGGTCGCCGCCGCCGCGCCTTTCCCTTTAAGTGCCCGCCGGCCGCGTCGCCGCTTCATGAATGGAGCCCACGTGACCAAACATCATGTGACGTCTGTGGAACGGCAGTGGCGGCGGCGGATCCCGAGCCTGGTCCGGCCCGGCCTTCCCAGCGCGCTCGGCTCGGCCCGCCAGGAGGCCAGCCCCCTCGAGTCCCGGGCCCGGAGCCCTCGCGCAGGCCCCCGCCCTGCGCGGCCTCGGAGCGCGCGCGGCCTCGTCCCACCTGAGCCTCGGCCCGCCCGGCCCGCAGTGTGGTGAGTGCAGCGGGGCGGGGGGCGGCGGGCCGAGGGGCGGGAGCCAGCTGCTCCCGTAGCACCGAAGGCGGCGGGGGCCCCAGCTCTGGGTCTGCGAGCAGCCCGCCGGCGACCGGCGCCTCGCTTCCCAGCTGCTCAGTAGTCAGCTCCCGGCCCCGCCGTCCGGGCGCTGGGATGGGCCGCGGGCGGCGGCGGCGGCGGTGGTGCGCGGGGCGGGTGTGTGCGGAGCTGACTCGCGGAGGCCCGGGCGTCCTAGGGGGAGGGGCGGCCGGGCCGGCTGGAGGAAAGGGTGGGGTCGAGCAGGGAGCCCCAGGTCCGCGCGAGCGTGGGCCGGTGCCCGATTCCTCAGGTGGCCGCGTCGGCGCTGCCCGCGCTCAGGGGTCCTCGGCTGGTGGGGAGGAGCGGGCGGCGCGCTGGGGGCGGCCAGGAAGACCCGGCTCGCGCCCACAGGGCTCAGTCAATCGCGTGCCAGGGCCCAGAGGGAGACTTGCTGAGTCATCAGCATGAGGTCACTCGATGCTCGAGCTGGTGCCGGGGGACAGGCGCGAGGGCCTCGGGGACTGGGGGCTCGCGGGCGGGCGGGGCCGGCGTGTGCGGAACCGCGGCGAAGGGACAGGGCCCGGCCGGGGCCCACGGGAGAGTTCGGGCTGGCGTGCGAGTTGAAGCCGGGAGTTCGTGGCAGATTTTCCTTCGGGGCCGAAGGTGAAGCCCCCGGCCTGCCGCCCCTTCTCAGGCGGCTGGTCCTGGTCCCAGTCGGGACGGTCTCCCGAACTGGGAGAGAGTTCCCGGAGTGAGAGGAGGGAGGAGCTTAGGTGCGCTGCGCTGGCCGGCCTTGGTGAAGCGGGCTTTCCATGCGACTGGCCTGGGCGGCCGGGCCAGAGCGGTGGGAGAGCCCCCTGCGGCAGCGAGCACGGTGTGGAGGAAACAGCCCTGCCTCTCTCCCCAGCTGCTTCGGGTCTGGTTGAGGCTGCGGGTAGTGGGGTGGGAGCTTGGACCGTGTAGCGGACGCGCTTCGGTATCTGGTGGCAGAATGCTGCTCTCCATTATCTCACATTGCCCCTACCTGAGATGGCATCTTTACGTGAAGTGACTGCTAGGTGTCCTGCCCAGGACTCTAAGGAAATGACAACCTGAGGGTGGTGTGACCAGAGCCCTCCTGGAGCATGTGGGTGATTCCTAGGAGGGGTTTATGGCTAAGTTGGGCTGATCTGTGGTTTGCCCTCAGGGAGAGTCCCCTTAGCACGCACACAACCCCCCCCCCCACACACACACACACACGACACGCACGAGTGGAGTCTTGGGCTTACTGATGCCAGCTGTTTTAACACTCCAGCTGAACTTTGGGCTGGAATGTTATCCCCTAGGAATATGCAGGGTTCTGGAGGGGTGTTTCCTAAAACTTCAGTCACTTAGGCCTCAGTGGAAATGAAGTTTCAGATTCTTTTCAGAGTGACTTTTGGTAGCTGAGGTTTCTGGAGGAGGTGGGTCGGGAAGGCGGGCAACAGTGAGACCTACCTACCTTGAGGTGCCTGGGCATCAAGTCCACTCCTACCTGGGAGTTTTGGCTGCTGGGGTCTGCAGACCAGTATGAAGGAGCAAGGCTGGCTAGTTGACCAAGCCACCTGCTGAATGTCCAGGCCCCAGCACAAGGGGATAGAGCTACTCAAACTTCCTTCCCCTTCCTGCTCTCACCCTGAATGGGTGGGCCAGGGGCCCCCTTGTGTGTCTTATCTTCCATGAGGTGGGGTCTGCTTTGGGGAAGAGAGGGTGAAGGATGACAGGGCTCTGGTACTAAACAGCCTTCAGTACCCAGAGGAGGGCTGAGGTGGGAGCCCAGCTTCTTGATCCAGTTGTGAGATTCCCTTCCTCTTCAGGAATGCCCTGAACATTCCCCTCAGCTGTCCCCAAAGGCTGTCTTTGCTTGGACAGTGTGTGTCCCAGGGCTGCAGAACCTGGCTAGGCCCTGCTTGCTGAGCCCTGCCCCTCCCCCACCGCACACCCACACGCACACCTTTGATTAGGAGGAGGCGACTGGCTGCACTTATGCTGAGTTCAGGCCTTCTGTGCAAGGCAAAATCTGTCGAGGAGGCACTTTTCAGTTCCCAGTCACCTCACTCAGTGCTTTTCTATGTGATCTCTCAGGAAGTCACCATTATATCATTGTGCATAGCAGTTGGGTGAGGGGAGCATAGTGGGGAGCTAGTACCAGGGCAATATCCTTCCATCCTGACTTGTGGTCAAGGCTAAGGCACCCCTCCAGGCTGGCTGTGAGGGCCTAGCTTCTGGGGTGGGTTTGGGGCCAGCTTGTAGGAAAGACCGATCCCTGAGGACCTTTTGACCTCTAGCCTAGGTCTTCCTCTTCCTTTGATCTGGAAGAATCTGATGACTGGAGCCCTGGGGTTTTGTCTCAGAGAGGCTCCTGGTGGCCTTGTCTTGGGGAGGTATCTCTGGCTTCCCTTGCTACTCTTTGCCACATTCCACCTCCTGGTGCAAGGCTGGGTGAGGTGGGATCTCTAACCTGGTGGGAACATATGCTTCCACCTATCCAGCCCACATTTTAGCTCCATGGATGAAGGGAGAAGCCCCTACTCTAGCCCAGAATTGCCTGAAAGGCAATTCTCAGCTTCTCCAAAGAGACTGCATCTGTCTTCTCTTCCAGCCATGATGTTGCTTGCCTCTAACCTGGAAAGGAGGGAATGGAACACAGGGATGGGGGGGTGCCGGTAATACCAGGTGGATGTCTGGGAGGATGTGCCCTTGGCCAGGCTTCAGAAAGCAGAAAGTGGGGTCGGGTGCTGGAGGGGCAGTTGAGTGGGTGGGAGTTGGCTGCCTGGTCTCTCCCAGCCCTTTGTTTTTGTACCCTGGCCTGTGGGCACTGAGTTGGGCAGGGGCCAGAGCGCAGTCAGTGACCTAGAGGGGCTGGCTACCCCTGCCTCTAGCTTTGCAGGCCCAGGGGGCAAGTCGAGGGCCCTTGTGAAACACACTGGATAGGGCGGGGCAGGGTGCAGGATGCTGCAACCTGTGGCAGGATAGTTACTCCATCAGTGGAGGAGGTGGACAGAGAGGGCTAGAGGGGCCTTGGCCCAGACTCCTTCTAGCTGGATTGCCTGCTACTTCCAAGGTGGGGAACTCCCTGGCCAATCCTACCAATGGAGCTAGAGCCTGCTGGGCAACCCACTCCCAGCTCTTCAAAGTTAGAAGTCTTAGGGAGAATCAGAACTGTCCCACATCCTCCCTGGCTGAGTCCCTGGTGGGGACAGCCTCCTGAGTCTCCCAGGGAACAGGGCTTTGTTGAAGGCTGGCTTAGGGGAGGCAGCAGTAGGAGGTAGTATGCTGAAACGTTTATGCACAGGGTCCCTGGACAACTTTCACCTGCTGCTGGCTGGGATGTGGGGCCACAGCCCTCCTGGGGCGCTGTTGGCTGGCGGGCCTGGGGAAAGCCAGCCTGTGAGGGAGGAGGCGGTGTGCTGAGTCAGCGTGACTCGCCAGGAACAGCAGCACTCTGGGGCAGCACTGGGGTTATTTTTAAAGCTCAGGGCTTCCTTCTAGGCTTGCCCCTCCTGCATCTTATTCCTCCTAATCTCTCCCCCAGCCCCTTTGTCTTACTCTGCCTCCATCCAGCCTCCAGTCCTCCTTCCCCCATCAGGCCTTCCTGACACCCCACCTGGGGGGCAGGTTGGGCAGGGAGAAGCTCATCTCAGGAGAAGCAAGGCCAAGGGGTGTCCTCTGGTCAGGTATTGGGGGCTGGACACATGGGCAGCAGGCTTCCGAGTAGGTGTCTGTGTAAACCACGGTGGCCTCTTGGGTCCTGACCTCTGCTCCATGTCTTGCAGGAGAGCCTGCTCGCTGTGCCCCCAGGTTATGACGACCCCCAATAAAGGAAACAAGGCCTTGAAGGTGAGCAGCAGGGATAGGGGCTTCTTGGGCTCAGTGGCATGGGGAGGATGTCCCTGCTTGGCCTGTGACCTGTGTGCTGTGCCATCCCCAGGTGAAGCGGGAGCCGGGTGAGAATGGCACCAGCCTGACCGACGAGGAGCTGGTGACCATGTCTGTGCGGGAGCTGAACCAGCACCTGCGGGGCCTGTCTAAGGAGGAGATCATCCAGCTGAAGCAGCGCAGGCGCACACTCAAGAACCGCGGCTATGCCGCTAGCTGCCGTGTGAAGCGGGTGACACAGAAGGAGGAGCTGGAGAAGCAGAAGGCGGAGCTGCAGCAGGAGGTGGAGAAGCTGGCCTCAGAGAATGCCAGCATGAAGCTGGAGCTTGATGCTCTCCGCTCCAAGTATGAGGCCCTGCAGAACTTCGCCAGGACTGTGGCCCGCAGCCCCGTGGCACCGGCCCGGGGCCCCCTTGCCACTGGCCTGGGACCCCTAGTCCCTGGCAAGGTGGCTGCCACCAGCGTCATCACAATAGTAAAGTCCAAGACGGACGCCCGGTCATAGGGATGAGCCGCTGTTTGTCCAGGCGGGTCTTCAAGGGGCCATTAGGCGCATGGCGAATTTGGCAGCCCCGTCTCTCTTTCCTTTTTCTTCTCTTCTCCTCCCTGCCCTTCCTTTCCCTTCTCTTCTCCTCTCCCCTCCTCACCTCCTTCCTTCCCTGCAAAGCACAACCTGCATCCCAGGGGCACTGGGCTGAGCCCCTTTGATCTCGTTGTCGTCGTGTGTTTTGTACGTTGGAATTGGTCAGTTTGGTGGTGATGTCGGGTCACCCCTAACCTCCTTTGTACCAAGGCCCTGCAGTCTTGGAGTCCAGGGCTGGCACCGTGAGAATGGAGGAGAAAGTGCTCATATGATCGAGCAAGCAAGCCCTCGGCCTATGTGTCCCTGAGCGGGGAGGGCTCCTGTCTACCCTCCACTCTCAGGTGGTTGCTCCCTGGGCTGAAAATGGCAGTTCAGCCCAGCCCAGTGGAAGGAGATAGGCTCTTCTTTGAAGAGCAGGGTGTGCCACCAGCCTGGGCACAGCAGGTACTGGGGATGTGTATGGCTGGAGGGCAGGGACTACAGAGCTTGAGCCTGTTCCTTTGCGATGAAAAAGACCAAATCTCTGGTGGTGAGCTTACGTGAAGGGTGTGTCCCGTGTGTCCTTTGATGGGTCCCGTGTCACTGTTTACATGACCTATTTGTGTGGTTATATAGCCCTTTATTTAAAAGAGAGAAGTTCCTTTTACGAAGTTATTAAATTATATGTTTAAAAGCTAAAGAAAAAAAGAGCTGCAGAGTATTTATAAAACTGTCTTTTAAAACAAAAAGAACAAACAAGAACATTTGACCATATAATGGAAAAGGGAAGAAAGTATATTAGAAACTTTGCTAGTTTAAAAAAAGAAAAAAAAAACAAAAAAAATTCCTTTCTTGTAAACTTATGGACAACTCTTTGTGGCTGTTGGAGTTTAGTTTTTATATACACAGAGTTATCAGACGTTATTTATAAAACTTACTTTAAAAAAAAGACAAAAAAAAGCCAAGCCGTGAGCCGACCAGAGGCCGTCCTCTTTGATATCTTTTGCAATTGTACCGAAAGTGACTTACTCCTCGCCCTTCCTGCTTCCGTCTCTTGCCGGTGCCGTGGTGTTGTCCGTGCCTGGTGAGGTTTTGTGCAGCCGTAAAGTGCTGGTGCTTTTGGTGACCTTTGACCTGTGAGTGTCACTTTTTGTGTCTGTTTTCCTGTGTTTGTTTTTTGGATTTAGTTGTGGTTTTGCTTCTGCTGGCTTGCCAGACCCAAGCTGGGTTAGGCTAGGGTGCTGGGCAGCGCCTGCCATGTGGGATGTTGGGAATCTGTGACCCTGGGCCCAGGAAGTCAGATGTGGAGCTCTGCCCCTCCCACCTATGCTGAGCCTTGACATTGGGTGTGTTGAGGGCTTGGGCTGGTCCAGTGCAGAGTAAGTGAAATTGGGAGGCCATTTGAGGTCTCCATGCTGCTTCCACATGCACCACCTTTGGCCTTGGTTGGTGGCGTTGTAGGGACCAACAAGTCACTGTGGGTGCCCGACGGGCCCTGGCCAAGCTTTCCCCACTGTCTTCCTCTGGCCTTAGCTTTGTTCCCGTAGGCTTCTTAGGGGACCTTAGTGGAGGGGACACCAGGGGCCCACCTCTCTGTGAACTGTTTCCGTGCTGTACGGTGGTGCTTCCTGGGCAGAGTGGTGGGGGCCCCACCTAAGGAAGCCCTTCTTCCTTATCCCTGACTTGCTCTGAGGGCCTGGAGGTTCTTTACCTGTGCAGATAAGGGCTAAGATCTCCAGGGCCTGGTCCTAGGCCTGGCCCTGGCCCTCTTCTGTGCTTGTCCATGCTGGCAGCTTTTGGCTTCAGGCCCTTATGCCTCCCTTTTTGATCTGTGTCTTCCAGGGGTCAGCTACTAGGCTTTTGGAGGTGCTTCTTTCTGAGGGTCAAGCCCACCTTTCTGTCCTAGAACCTGCTGACCTTCTAGGCTTGGTTCAGGAAGCTCCCTATGGTATGCGATGAGGAGGTGGTTGCTCCTCCAACCCCAAGATGCTACAGTCCAGTCTCTAGCCACACGAGCCTCAGCCTCTCGCCAGGGTTGGTGTCTTCTCTGGCAGCCTGGACCCCTGAAAAGCACAGAAGTATGATCTAGTGAGACAAAAACTGTGGCCTGACAAGGTTTATCCTCATGGGCAGCAGGATTTATCTGAGAGCTTGACCCAGTGTGCCTGTGATGTGGGACAAGGTGTGCCATTGACTCCTATCACATAAAGGATGGCTTCTCTGCTCCAGGTGTGCAGACACACTCCTGCTTGTACCTGGGTCAGCCTGCAGATAGAATTGTGACTGTTGCCTCTGAGTCACTTAATGACTTTCCCTCCCTCCCCTTGGTCTGTTTTTGTCTAACTGGAATCCAGGTGTGAGTTGCTAAAAGTTGGTTGCAGCAGCAGGGAGTTGGAATCATCAGTGAAGACAGGTTGTGACCTGTGTGGGAAGATGGATGACAGGCCTTCCTTGTCCTTGTACAGCCCTCAATTTTTTCCTGGCTGGGAGGTGGTCCTCCATTACTGAGCACCTCTGCCTGGCTGCAGACCTAGAGAGCAGAAGGAAGAAGCAGGTGAGGAAGAGGAAGAGGATTTGAGGACGAGTACATGCTGAACAGAAGTCGCAGATCCTTGGTTTGGTTTACAAAAGAAGCTTCTGAAGTTTGTGAGACCATGCTTCTTTTTGGGAGTTGTAGGTTGGAGCAGCTGTTCTTTGGTTCTGAGAGAATGTTCCCATTCCCTGTCCAGCCAGCTCTACAGGGCCACTCTACCACCTTCCTCCTCCCCTTGATTTCTTTAGAGTAGATCCTTTGTCCACATGTGATTGCTGTCTTTCTGATCTTTGTTAATTCCATTTTCCTACTGTGAGGATGTTGGGTTTTTTCTCTCTTCAACTTTTCTGACACAGTGAATTGAGGGCTTTGGTTAAGGCCATGTCTCTCAAACTTGTCCACTAAGTAAACCATATGTGTGTCTTCCTTCCCACCTTGACTTTGCCCCAGCCCCTCCCTTATCCCAATATCGATACTCAGATTTTAGAGAAAAACCCAGTGGGAACATGTCAGCCCTTCCTGGAGACGTAGCCCCAGGGAGACCTCTCCATGGGTGGGTGCTCTGTGGTGGCCATGTCCTGTGCTAAGGTTTCTGCTCTTAGTGCATGCTTCAGGTTTGCGTGTACATTGTCAGTAGCAGGCTCAGTGGTGGTCAGTGCCTGCTTGAGGACAATGGTCAGGTCTCATTATGTCCCTGCGGCTTCTGTTTCTGGAGTGATCACTTGGCTGAAGTTCCCATCCTTGTATGGGAAGCTGAAGCCACAGACTGCTGCACCATTTCCGCTCTGGGATCTTGTGAGTTACTTTTTTAGACTGTGGTTTAGTGAAAGGAACCAACACATTAACGATTTTTTACCCCAGAAGCCACTGAATAATTCTTTTTGGCATGTTTTTGCCTTCCTGTTGCCTGTCTGATTTTGGAGCACATGTGGACAACAGAGGGCATAATCAGTGCCACACAGTGGTTGGGGTATACCCAGGAGACTCCAGTGTCCTGTCCTGGCATGTCTGTACCTGCTGGTCAGTGACACACGTTTCCACCCCACCCCTGGAGCAGCAGCTTTGATGTCATGGGTGTCCCTCTAATCTGAGCTGGAGTGTAAGAGTGTGTCCCCAATAAACTGTGAGACCTCCCTGTTCTCAGTGACCCCAGTTGGGCTTTTGATCCCTCCAGCAACCTTGTGCACCAGCCCTTCTTCCCATCCCCTCAGTCTGCTGGTCCTTGAAGCCTTTAACCAAATGGGAGTAGTATGGAAAGCCTTCTCCTGGCAACTTAGGGCAATAGGACAAGGGCTACCCGTGTATCCAGCTACTCTGTTGCTCTCCTGGCGCTGAGAGGTGGGTCCAAGCATTCATTACCCTTGCCTGCCCTGCCTAGGGCTGAAGCCAGGGGAGTTTGGTGTGTGTGGGAGGACCCTGAGATCTGTTGGGATGGGGTAGGGGTGATTAAAGATCGGAGGAGGGGATGCGAAGTGGGGCCGAGGACCCACAACCTCGGGAAGGGCGGTAGGGCGCCTGACCTGGGGCGGGGCAGTGGCCTCAGTGCCCCACTTCCACCTTGCGCAGTATTTATTGCTAAATTATTGTCCAGGAGGGGCAGCACTGGGCCTAGCCCCCCGGGTATTTATTGCTGTACATAGTGTATGTTTGTGATATATAAGGTTTTCTTTATTTTGTATATGATCAATAAACATCTTTTAAAGAGACTGGCAGGTGCTTCTTTGGGCGACGCAGTGGGCTGGGCGGAGCTGGCGCGCGCATGCGCTCCGCGCGCGGCCTGTCGGGCGAGACGGAAGCGGAAGCACGGGTCTCCCCGGGGAGCGATGGCAGCCGGGGGTCTGAGCCGCTTGGAGCGTAAGGCGGCGGAGCGGGTCCGGAGACTGCGGGAGGAGCAGCAGCGGGAGCGCCTCCGCCAGGTACGCCCCACACGCCCGCCTGCCCGCACCCGCGCTGCCGCCGCCGCCGCTCATCGCCCGCCCGCCCGCAGGTGTCGCGCATCCTGAGGAAGGCGGCTGCGGAGCGCAGCGCCGAGGAGGGCCGGCTGCTGGCCGAGAGCGAGGACCTAGTGACGGAGCTGCAGGGTCGGAGCCGGCGGCGCGAGGGCCTGAAGCGGCGGCTGGAGGAGGCGAGTCTCGCGGGGCGCGGCCCGGGCGCCCACATGCCCTCACTCCGTCCGGGTTTGGGCGCCGCGGCCATGGGGGGAAAGTGACCACTCTGGCATCTCGGCAGGTGTGCGATGACCCCGAGGAGCTGCGGAGGAAAGTCCGGGAGCTGGCCGGCGCCGTCCGCAACGCCAAATACTTGGTCGTCTACACTGGCGCAGGGATCAGCACGGTAGGGAAGGAGTCGTGGACGCCAGCCCGCACTGCCCAAGACGCGGGCGTGGGGCGCCCCCTTCTGGGAGACTGACCCCAGGAAGGAGTAATGTACTCTGAGTTGGATAACAACCGAATTGCGAAAATCTTCCCTTTAGTTTTTTTCCCTTTCTAAGAGAACACTAAAGGTCTCAACTGAAAACTTAGCTTACATAAACACGTTTAAAAAGCTTGACCTCTGGCTCGGCGCCTATAGCTCAACCGGCTAAGGCGCCAGCCACGTACACCTAAGGTGGCGGGTTCGAATCCCCAGCCCAGACGCCAAACGACAATGATGGCTGCAACCAAAAAATAGCCGGGCGCTGTGG